AAGGAATGGAGGGAACTCAGAAGGATGATTAGCGGTAGAGTCAGATCCTGCTACCGGACTCTGCAAATTTGAAGACAGTGCATGGGGGAGGTGGTAGGATTGGGAGACACCTTGAGCCTGGAGCCAGTGCCTCCTGAATCCCACCTCTGCTGGGGACATGCACAGGGAGGGCAGGAAGGAAGCGACCACACTGTTCAGTCCTGGGAGAATGGGGCAGGCCTGGCTGGCTATTCCCATCTCACCTGAGCGAGGTCAGTCTGCAGCCAGAGTACTGCGGGCCCACACTGGTGTTCCTGAACAGGGGATCAAGCTGCAGAGGAGGGAGGAGAGGAAATGATGTGAGAGACAGGGGCAAGGTGGTCATTGGTGGGTGGGGCTACATGAGTGGGCGGGGCTTGGGGAAGGGGGCGGGGTGGGCGATGTGGGCGGAGTTCTCACCAGGCCCTGCAGGACCTTCTCTGTGGTGTTGAACTTTGCAGACCCTGGCGGCTGCATGCGCTCCCTGTAGTGCAGGTTGGTGATGGTGAAGTTGAGGGTGAAGGTCACCAGGGTAGGGCCAGTGGCTGCAGTGGGGGAGGGAGACAGAGATGTCCAGTTTGGGCCACAGCAATAATGACCAAGGCTGTTATGGCCCTATCCGTGGGGCACCAGCAGGAAATACTCTGGAATTGCAAGACTTTGAGAGCCTCTGTGCCTCCATTCAGTGAGTATTTATGGAGCACCTAATGTGTACAAGGTTCTGTGCTCAGCTCTGTGAGCCCAAAGACGAATCGGGCATAGTGTGCTGATCTGTGGAAAGGAGGTGACCTTCAGGGGAAGCCTGGGGTAGGATGTGGCTGTGCAAGTCCACGAGAGTCATTGAACCAATGTCGGAGGAAATATCGTTTCAGGTGTGGCCAGAAGCACCAGGAAGAGTTAGGTTAAGAAGAGCTAAGCAAGTGGGGAGGGCAGTCCAGGAGAAGTAACAGCCTGGGCAAAGCCTTCGAAGGAGGACAGAGCAGGGTAAGCTCAAGGCATCAGATTTTTCATCACAGGGACACTGATGTGAGAATGGAGGGATGTTTGAATCCAGAAGAGGGAGGCAGCACAGGGGGTTGGATGCGACTTGTAGACCAGATGGAGTCCTCTAAAGATTGTGAAGAAGACAGGAATGATATGGAGGCAGATAGAGTGGCAGGGACAGGAAGCTGCTGTGTGGAGAACACTAGGAGGCCACAGTAGAGGCTACTGCAATCGTCCTAGCAAAAATACTGGTGTTCTGAATGAATTTGATTGATGCAAATGCAGAGAAATGAGATGTTCAAGGGATATCCCGAAGGGATATAGGTGAGATTTGGTGAGGGATGGTGAGCTGGAAGGAAGGTGAATGTCAGTGCTCTGCCTCTGCCTTTGATGATGAGGAGGAAGGTGGGGTTTTGGAGGATGAGAAAAAGGGACAGGAGGGATGTCCAGTAGGAGCATGGATCAAGGGCCAGGAGCTGCTGTGTGGTCTGGGATGGACCCAGGATTTGGATCCTGAGCCAGTAGATCGTCCCTGCAATCCTCGTTATGGTTGAGTTTTTGGAGATGGGGAGTGAGCAATGAGAGAAGAAGTGATCAGGTATGAACTATTTGGTACATAGGATTTGGGCACCAATGACAGCCTTTTTACCTGTGGGCTTGGCGTGGGGTGACGGAGTCTGAGAGGATGGTTTCGAGGAAGTAGTGGCCACAGCTGCTGAGAAAAAAAGAAAACCCCACAAAGAATGAAATCCAAAGTGTGTTATACCTTTAAGGGAAGGCTGGCAGTGGTGGAGGCTCTAGTTATAAAAATCTGTGCATGTGTACACCCCATTCAGCCCGAAGCCAGGCCATTGTCCTACAGGGTTGTGTGTGTGGAAAGGACAGGTGATTCCTGCCACCAACTGGGTACGTTACTTTTTGTCTGTTTTTTTTTTTGCTTTTTGAGACAGGGTGTCACCCTATTGCCAAGGCTGGAGTGCAGCTGTGGTATCCTTGCTCAGTGCACCCTCACAGTTCTGGGCTTAAATGGTCCTTCTGCCTCAACTTCCCAAGTAGCTGGGACCATAGGCGAGCTCCACCACACCTGGTTAATTTTTTAAATTTTTTGTAGAAATGGGGTCTTGCTATATTGCCCAGGTTGGTCTCAATATCCTGCCCTGAAGTGACGAACCCACCGCCAGGTCACATTTCTATACATCTCACTGGCCCCTTCCCATCCAAAGGGTGGGTAACAGGAGACAGGGATGGCCGTTTGAAGGGCTCCCGTTTCTCAGGGGAAGGGAGGTAGGCGGTCACAGACACAGAGAGATCTGGAATACTCA